TAAAATAATAACTCTCATTCAAATAACAAATGAAGCATTAATTCAATTTCTCATTCAAAAAAAAACTAACAAACCGTTCTTAAGTAAGAGACTACGATTTGTAAAATTTTGATTCCAGATCTGCTAAAATGAAAAATCCATCCATCTTGTCATAAAACATAACCCACCAAACTCAAATCTTGTCTCAAAACTGCCACAAAAAGTAAATTAACTCCTCTTGAAACAAAACAATTAGATAAAGATATTATACCAAGACAAAACTCAAAGACAGAAAAATCTCACTGGGAGACTCCCAACCACTTTGAGAAGTTTTCAAACTCGGTGTAATCGCTGTCGGAGATCATAGTCTGGTGCTATGCCTTTCCTGCAGACTTGCTTTTGGTAGCCTCTTCCTGTTAATGATGAAAAGGTCAAAATTATTCATTTAGAAAAAAGGATCCAAATGAGGCCAATTGTCTACATATCAGTTTCTATGCACTGAATGATTGACAGAACTGAATATTATTACAGCAAAGTGATCAGAAATACACGTACACAAGTATAGTCTCAGTATGCACTTCTAAACTACTGAGCTAAATCATATGGTACTAATTATGGTACTTAACTAGGAACACTTTGTAATACTGCTGGGATTTGATAAGCAGCATTTTGACTGAAGATAAAGAATTTTCTACAGCCATAAACTGCACTGAGCACCATTAACAGAGGATATAACCAACAGGTGTAAACAATTCGGACTAGCCACCAATATCATGTATAATATAACCAATAAGAAACATGACACTAGAAAATTGAAGGGAAATGTAAATAACATGTAAGCTAAATATTATTCACATTTTGTTTCCCTTTTCTTTTTTCCCCCTCCACAAACCCCCCACCAAATTGAAGATCCGCAACAATTTTCATGACACATGGGGGGGCGCAAAGTATATAGTTTAATATATTTATTATGTTATACATATGAATACTTAATAAAAAATAATAAAAATAAAACATAGCACTAATTTTTAAAGTTTAGAGGATAGATTAATAAGTATAAATCTACATTTTTACCTTGTTAGTTCTTCTGTTTCTTCTTATTCTTCTTCTCTTTCTTTGAAAGGTGAACCTATATTTAATAAGAGCAAGTATTGTAATTAATAAGATATGTTATTTGTCAAAAAAGCTTTTGATTAAATGATTGCTCACCTCTTGGGATGAAAATGCATGAGATTGTTGTTGATGTGACATTGGCCGAACAGTAGGATGACTACTGAGTGAATCCACAACCTATCATTCAATAAGAGGCTTAAGTTGTATATTCATAGTCACAGAAGTCAACCATGCAAGTGAACAATTATGTCAAGAAATGTTTGATTAAACATCTTGCAAGCTCATGTAATTCAATGAAGTCATCGACGGGTCTAATAAAAAAGTTATTCTATTCTAATATCATAAACACATATGGGTCATTCATTCCATGTAAATGGACAGTCCAGATTTATTTGTGACATGACTATATCATTGTCACATATGATAGTTAATAATTGAAGAGTAATGCATATATTAAACAATCACACTCGTGATTGGTGATACCTATCCCATATCATAAAGCAGAGTGAACAATGATTAACATAAGATTAACATGGATGATTATATAAATAACATATGTATATGTATGTGGATAGCCATGGAATGTTTAGATAGAGTCAAAAGATGAGGGGGGTTCACACCAAATTAATATGCAACTTGTTTGGTGTGCAAACTAGGGAGGGGTTTTCCAACACCAGTTCAGAGTATGTGTGCTTCCCAGCTGTGATATTCTAGAAAACTCTTGTACCTCTTGAGCAAAGCCATCTAGGGTAGGAAAAGTGTACCAACATTGAAAAAAATCGCTTACTGAAATCATCGATTTCAATACAATCAATGAACCTTCGTTATTCTTTTGTTTCAATTATCTTATTATGGTAGACATGTCAACAAAAAATATAATCCAATGATATGAATTTAAAAGCAAAATAATATCCATTACACATTCCAAAATTAGATCGTTTTGTTTTAACTTTAAATTTGAATCATTCTATTATCACAACAAGACCATTGCAGAGATCGATGACAGGGGATCCTAATCCTAATAAAACTAATACTTGAGCCTTAAAAAATGTTGGCTAAAGACCCAACAAACTTGTAGTAAGGACAACACCAACTTATTAGTTTAAGGATATCTGTCCAGTTAAGGATACACATGAAGTACACTCATGTTCAACATAACAGAATACTGATCTTATGGGTACTTCTTTAGAATCAAAAATAATTTTTTTTGAAAAGTCATTATTCAAAATAGATTTGACTGGAGCTCTGAATTAAGTAGTCAAATCTTTTCAAAAATAATAATTTCTCAAATTTGAAAGCATGAATGAAATACACTCATGAAGTAATTATTTTTGGGTACAGCTCAAATATCTGTCCAGTTAAGGATACACATGAAGTATACTCATGTTCAACATAACAGATATCTGTCCAGTTAAGGATACACATGAAGGATATACAGGTTTGTAAAGCCTTCATGTTCTATTGATCCTTGATTTAGGAAATTTTTTTTCTTAAGGTTAATGGATCATCTATCATGCTATATTAACTAACTTTGATTCACTCCAAAGCCTTTGACATCCTGTGTAATTTCAAAACCGCAAGGGAAGTCTCAATAATTGTCAGACCATCAAAAGAGGTGAGCGCAATTAGCCCTATATTTAAGAATGCATTTGAAATTAAATGAGACTTAGGCAAAATATATTTATATCCCCCACCCATGTTAGAGGTTAGAATTATTTCAAGTGATATGGTTTTGACTTAAATGGTGACTGAGATTTTAGTTAGTGTTGATCTTCTTACATGATTCAAGTATTTGATAGAGACCTTTTGTGGGTTTAATAGTGCATTGTTTATTTATTTATTTTCGTTTGTTTCTTTCATCTTTTATAATTTTCTAGCGATTTGATATTCAAGTAAGTAAATAGGTGGATATAATTTTCCAAAAGACAAGTAATAATTTTAAGAAAATAATTTTTAAAGATATATTTTAAGAATTATTGTTGTCAAACTAATTAAATTTATTTGAGAAAAAAAATTAAAAAGAGATTCTCAAAATTCTACTAAACCGGGTGAATTACATTTCTATTCTATTCCTAATCATAACCCAACAGAGCACCAAATTGAGACATCTCCACAAAATGCACAAGAGAGGGCTAAAAATTAGAGATGAAGCAAATGCAAAGCCTCTGGACTTACATGGGGTATTATTGAATTTGACAATGTTCACTTCAAGATTTTTATTCATCTGAGCAAAAACAAATTGCATGTGTACAGTGCGGATATTATATATAACTAGAAGTAGGCACATATTGCGATAGTTATCTAAAAGATCATACCAAGCAAAGTTCATCATTATATATAACTAGAAGTAGGCACATATTGCGATAGTTATCTAAAAGATCATACCAAGCAAAGTTCATCATTATATATAACTAGAAGTAGGCACATATTGCGATAGTTATCTAAAAGATCATACCAAGCAAAGTTCATCATTATATATAACTAGAAGTAGGCACATATTGCGATAGTTATCTAAAAGATCATACCAAGCAAAGTTCATCATTATATATAACTAGAAGTAGGCACATATTGCGATAGTTATCTAAAAGATCATACCAAGCAAAGTTCATCATTATATATAACTAGAAGTAGGCACATATTGCGATAGTTATCTAAAAGATCATACCAAGCAAAGTTCATCATTATATATAACTAGAAGTAGGCACATATTGCGATAGTTATCTAAAAGATCATACCAAGCAAAGTTCATCATTATATATAACTAGAAGTAGGCACATATTGCGATAGTTATCTAAAAGATCATACCAAGCAAAGTTCATCATTATATATAACTAGAAGTAGGCACATATTGCGATAGTTATCTAAAAGATCATACCAAGCAAAGTTCATCATTATATATAACTAGAAGTAGGCACATATTGCGATAGTTATCTAAAAGATCATACCAAGCAAAGTTCATCATTATATATAACTAGAAGTAGGCACATATTGCGATAGTTATCTAAAAGATCATACCAAGCAAAGTTCATCATTATATATAACTAGAAGTAGGCACATATTGCGATAGTTATCTAAAAGATCATACCAAGCAAAGTTCATCATTATATATAACTAGAAGTAGGCACATATTGCGATAGTTATCTAAAAGATCATACCAAGTATTCGAAAGCAGCAATTCTTGGCAGTGGGGTGCACAAATCAGGTAATGAACTTACTAAGAGAGCCAGTAATACTCACCCAATTGTGCTCTTATTATGTTCATGTTAAATATGATTTCGAGCTAGTCATATCTTGCAGTTCCAAAATGGCATGCATCTGCCTTTCAGCTTGGGTGTTGAGCAACAGGTTCGACATTTGAAGGAGCCAAACTTGCCTCCCAAAAGGTGAGTGGCATGTCAATCAAGCATCAGATCTGTTTTGCATGCATGAAAACATGCTCTGTTAAAAGTTATTATACAACTTAATTTTGCTGGATCCATGTCTAGGTGTCTTTTTTCTAGGGAAACAGAACTCTCCGCAGGTAACTCCTTTGCGAACGTTTTGGGTTACTTTGGCACTGTTGAAAAAGAAGATATTGCTTGTACTGGGCAAGAAAGTGGTGTCCTGAATGAGTTACTCGGAACTGAATCTTTGAGGAATGAATTAATTGGTTTAAGAACTGAAACTTTGAGGAATGAGTTGACAAAAACTGAAAGTTTGAATAATGAGTTGATGAAAACAGAATCCTTGAAGAATGAGTCAAGCAACACGTCAGACAATTTTCATTGTTTGCAGTTGCAAAATGGGATGCATCTACCTTTCAGTTTGAGTGTTGAGCAGGTTCAACAGTTTTCATGGATTCAGAATGATAATAATCAACATATGGCATCACCAAAGGAATCAAATCTGTTTGCCAGAAGGTGAGTGGTACTGTCATCAAGCTTTAAATCTTTAATGCATGCATGAAAACATGCTCTTTTAGAAGTCATTATACAACTTTATTTTGCTGGATCCTTATCTAGAATGAAAACTATTGTTTTATGTAGCAGTAAAAGAACAAGAAGATATGTCTTTGAATATTTTGTTCCCAACAAGTTGTAATATATTGTCTTTCCTCTGGGGAAACCGAGTTTTTGGCAGGTAACTCCTTTGGGAACTATTCTGGGTTCTTTGGTACCACCGAAAAGCCAGACATTGCTAGCATTGGGCAAGCAAGTGGTGTCCTGAACGAGTTACTCAGAACCGAATCTTTGATGAATGAGTTGATTGGTTTAAAAAGTGAAACTTCAAGGAATAATTTGACACAGAATGAATCTTTGAGGAATGATTTGATAAAAACAGAATCCTTGAGTAACAAGCTAATAAAATCCGAGTTTTTGACCAATGAGTTGATAAAAACCGAATCGTTGAGGAAAGAGTTGATAAAAGCCGAACCCATGAGAAATGAATTGATGAACAGCAAATCCTTGAGGAACGAGTTGATCAATACCAAATCTTTGAGGCTACAGCTGTATGGGCAAGACTCTTACCCATCATTCAATTTCAGTATTCTACCTGATAATAAATTCCAACCAGCACAACAAACGAACTTGCAACAAAGTATTGACGATTATTGTGCTGAAGGAAACTTTGAACAGCCTCAATCTGGGTATGATTCCATGCATTGTAATTGTGCTTCTACGTCCGGGCCTTCCAGCATTGCTACTTTTGATGAGTATTTATGCCCCCAGGCAAGTTTGTCTTCCATTTGATTCCAATTTAAGTTACTTCTATCCACTCATCATTGGATATGCACAGCAAGTCATTTTTCCACCAAAATGAAACACCATTATGCAATCCCCACCTTCTCTCCCATATTAAGCAGGAGTTGACCTAATTCTTGCTATAATCACACCACATCTTTGGCTTCTTATTTTCTCAATGTTTTGCTTCCAGAGCAAAACACTTGAGTTTAGCCTAGTGGCCAGAGCCTCTGTATCTCACAAAAACCAACATAATAACATCTTAATCCTAATTAAAAACACAAAGCACAAGCAAGTGATGGCCAGCCTCCACCGTTTGAGAATGTATGATAAACAAAACCATTAACATTTAAATTATACATGCAAAATGTACAACAAATCAGCTTGTAAAATCAAAGCAACAACAAATTCAAGTGAATTGTGAGTAAAATTACAAAGCTGAATCTCTAAATCACAGAGCTGAACTGACAGAGATAACTAGGGTTTAGACAGCACAGAGAGCGAGAGAGAGAAAGGGGGAGAGAGAGAGAGTAGCTCACCGATCTGAATCGATTTTGAGAGAGAACTTCGAAATGGCTCGGATGAATCACCGATCTGAATCGATTTTGAGCGAGAACTTCGAACAGTGCAGAGAGGGCGAGAGAGACGGAGAGAGAGAGACCGCGAAAGTGAGAGTGAGAGTGAGAGCGCGAGAGTGAGATTGAGATTTTCGCTTATTCTGCTTATCATATTCAAAATAAAGGTGAAACAGGAGAGAAGGAGGGGGTCGAACAAAAGACCATTCCAAGGCGTTTAAAAAACGTCTTTGATTCTTGAAACGGCGCCGTTTCAATTACAGCAAAACAAGACGTTTCTAAAACGCCGTTAAATATTAGAAAAAATGGCGTTTTAAAAAACGCCGTTAAAAAAACGCCGCCTATAGGTAAGCCATCTCAACTCTCATACTCACACCTAAATTATTGTCCTTTGAAATGTTTTCGACCACATTTTTTCATTACAAACCTTCTTTCCAAGAAGTTTCCAAGAAATTTCCAGCTACATTTGAGCTGGAAAGTATAAGTTGATACCCACTACTCCTCCCTCACCATGGTTTCTCTGTGGGGTAATGTTGACAGACCATTTTTTCCAGGAAATGTCATTGTTAGCTGTCCAAGCTTTTGGAACCATACAGGAAACTAGCAATCTATCTATATATTACATAAAAAAGAAGAAAGAAAAAACATTCTTTTTAGTGAGAAGGCATTTAGGAGTTCTAAACTCTCATTTTAAAATTGTTGACTGATGTATTTAATTAATTATTAATTATTTTAGAAATAATAAGTATTCCTTAATTTATGGATTTCAAATGAAAAGATAACAAAATATTCCATAATCTCCCCCATCATAATCTCTCACCAATTTTCGAAAAATTAAATATTTCTTCCTACTGTTTCTCTTCTTTTCCCAAACCATCTCTCTATTAAAAAACCCTATCTACCTTACACAATTTCAATATTTTTTTTTAAATGTCATATGTAACTTGCTTATCCCTAAAGATGTTATATCATGCAAGAGAACATCACACCATTTTTATTTTATTTTTTTCTAAGGTTGTTAAAATTTAGTTAATATTTAATTTTTTTCTTACTCATTACATTTTTATTTTTAAACAATACTATTTTTCCATTCTTTTACGCCACATCACTTTCAATCCCTTTTTTTTGCTTGAAGATCTATACTATATATATAAGCAAATGTAGTAGATGTGCTTTTTAGGCCTCCAAATCTCTATTCTTAGTTTCTTATAAAACCTTTTGAAATTTTAAAAATAATGTGGTACTTAAGTTTAGGGATGGCAATTTGAAACCGACCCGATGGAAACCCGATTCCTAACCCCGATTTGAACGGTTTTTTCTCGAAAAATACCCCCGACAGGACGGTAATGGTATTCAAAAATCAATTCCCGATCAATTTTGGGCCGGGAATGGTGATAAGTGTTCAAGCCTCGGCCCGGCCCGGCCCCGTTTGTCCCCGAAGTGAGATGTATATACTTTTTTGATTACCTATTTCTCTTTCTCTCTTTCATTTCATCTTCTTTTTTTTCATTTCATATCTTCTCTCTCTCTCTCTTCCTCATCGTCTCGCACCGAATCAACGCTACCTCCTCTTCCGAGCGCCACCTCCTCCTCCTCTGAGCAAAGAGAGCAGAGAGCAAAGAGAGAGATGAGAGAGAAAGAGTGCATCGAACATTGTCGCCGAGCACCACCTCTTCCTCCTCCAGCGTCGGTTCCCTCCGCATACAGCAGATCTGAGCTGAGCAGATCTCTCTCTCTCTCTCTCTCTCTTTACTCAGATCTCTCTCTCTCTGTTGATGATGTTGTTGTTGATGTTGTATGATGATGTTGTTGTTGATGATGTTGTTGAATCATTTGCTGCTATGCTACTGCTGTTTGGTTTTTTTTTTTTTTTTTGGTCCAGGGAATTTTCGGGGTTAGGGAAACCACCATTAGGGGGCGGGAACGGGGACGGTGATAGGTTCCCCATCGGGGATCGGGGACGAGGAGTGTGATCCCCCGCCCTGCCCCTTTGCCATTCCTACTTAAGTTTGAAACTCGCTCCTCTCCTATCACTTCCATTTAAAATAAAAATTATTTTTTTAATAATTTAATAATATATGCTCTTAGAATAATAGTTATCTGAATACAAACTTATCAACAAAAAAAAAAATCACAAAATTCAAAAATATTTGAATTGAAAATCTATATGAAGATAATCTATATCAATCAACAAAATTCAAAATAAAGATAATCTATATTTATCTATCTAATTTCACATCTCTCTCCTCCTATATAAACAGTTATATTTTAATTAATTATAAACACATACAAAAATATTATGTTGCTTTTTCTCTCTCTCTCTTTCTATTTCTCTCTATATATAATTTTATATTATTATTGGTATGGCAGAAAAAGTTCACACATTTGCATTCCTCCTCTCTCTATATATAATCTTATATTGTTATAGATATGGCTGAAATGCTTCACACATTTGTATTTTTTGTCTAAATTTTAATTCTACCAAACTTGACGGTTAGAGTGTTTTTGAATTTCTTTTTATTGCATCAATGTTGAATATTCTGTACCAAAATTACAAAAAAAAAAAAATGTGTATGAAAATTATTTGTGTGTATCATTCTCATAATGAATTTCCCACCAAATTAAAAAATTCTTTCCTATTTGAGAATTTCAGAATAATTTAACTTGACCATTGAGTATCCAGTATATTCTTTTGCTTAAAATTTTATCTTTCGATGATATTTTGGTGATGGATTCACATAATTTATATGTTTTTATGTAATATTTAATTTTGCTCTTTTACATTTGATATCATTTTTTTTAATAAGAAACTTGAATAATTAAGTCTTTTATTTTGTTTTGTTTGAGGGTTGACAGTAGAATATTATTTTTATTATAGCAAAACATAATTTTCAATTATATGATACTTATTGATGTTTCACTGCAATTATTTTTTATTTATTTGTTTGTTTAATTGTGTTAATGTAAATTGTAAATTGTGTAAATTACCACACCACCAACTCCACCTACCATCTCCACTACCACCCACCACCTCCACTACCATCCACTACCACCACTCACCTACCTCACCTACTCCCAAATCCTCTCCTATATAATAGCTTGTAATATACAAAATATACACAACAATCTTGTAACAATACAATCAATAATATACATCAATTTATTTTACATGGTATCAGAGCTAGGTTAAGAACCTAATATTTTCGCTTCACCGGCGGGCGGCAGCCTCGCCTTGGCCGCCCGCCGGACCTCTCATCTTCCAACTATTTCTGCACACCGGATCTCAACCAATTCAAACCTCCCTCTCCCTCTCGGCACCTCGCTGAACACATACACACACAAGCTCCACCTCCCTCCCTCTCGGCATGCACACCACTACCACCACTACCATGCATATACACACACCAAACCCAGCTCTCTTCTCTCTCTAGATTTCTAGGCTTCTCTCTCTCCAAGACACACCCAGCGCACACACACACAGCACAATCAGAGCTACACACACACAGCCATCTCATTCTCTCTCTCTCGGCAAACCCACAACACACATGCATTAAGACTCACACAGGGCCATACACTCATTCATACACAAGAGACCCAGCTCATTCAACTCGGCTGCTTCATGTTCCTTCCACAATCTTCTCAGGCCGAACCTTAAACCCATCCAACACACCAAACTGTGGTCTCTCTCTCTAGCTGGCTCAAAACCAACCCATCTCCAGCTCTCTCTCTATCTCGTGCATGAACCCATCTCAAGACACGGTATAACCCAGCCCCGAAATGACCACCGATGGGTTCATCATCGAAGATCAGGTGAAGAAGAAGAGGAATCGGACGGCTGAGTTGGCTGCTTCGAGCGGCGGAGCACTTGCTTTGGCCATTCTCGTTAACAAGGTTCTGTTTCCGATTAGGGTTCCGATCACCATCGCGCTTACGCCGCCGATCGCCAGGTTCTTGGCCAGGCGGCGAATCATCAAGAACAGTCAGTATGATCTTCACCCCAAACCCTAACCACCACATTCACTCTCTTCGCCCTGCTTTTGCTTTCAACTCAACCGCCGCCGCCGCCGAAGGCGGGTCTCATCTCGGTTGGGGTGCAGATCTTCCAGACAGAAGGCGTCGCCGCCTTGTACTCCGGCGTCTCCGCCACCATCCTCCGCCAGACTCTCTATTCCACCACCCGAATGGGTCAAGCAGAAATGGACACTCCACACACACACCACACTACACACTGACAAACCACACCCTTGGAAGCTGCACACACTGATACACACACCATGGACGCACCAGCACACACCAAACAACCAGCACATGGGGCACCCACTCAATCTCTTTCTCTCTCATATTTTATTAATCTGTCTTCCTCTCTCTGTTTCTGATGTAGACCCTCGGAGCTCGATTATCTCTCACATTTAGTAGGGCACACACACCCAATTCACTTTTCTTTGTTTAATCACACCCATCCACCGCCCATTTTATTTTTTAATCAAACTTTATTTTTTATTCTAAACCTTCATTGATGCTCTCAGACATCATTCTCTCACATTTAGTAGGGCACACACGCCCAATTCACTTTTCTTTGTTTAGTCACACCCATCCACCGCCCACTTTATTTTTTTTTAATCAAACTTTATTTTTTTATTCTACACCTTCATTGA